CCCCAAAACCCCAAAACCCCAAAACCCCGCACTGCTATAGATGTCAAAAATAGAGTGAGATATAGATTAATTTAGATTTAGTTCACTGGAAAGAGAGAATGGATAATATTATTATCGATATTAATTAACTCTATGAGCAGATCTTTCTTGTCCATTTTAATTATTGTAGCCTCCCTCAATATTTCATTATCTCTTCAAGATGACCCTCACTTTAAGCTCTATGAATCATTAGGTGCAGTATTTACAAAATAATTCTTTAGAAATGTCGAAGATAACCTTATTGTTCCGATATTTGATATGATTAATGGAACATAAATTGGTTCTCTTCCGAGACTTTAAGCTGATCTATACTTGTTGAAAATTGACATGAATGCTACCAATATTACGATAAATAATTTATATGTCTCAAATAAAACTGACTAAGTAATTCTTGGAGATGAGGAGGTAACTATTGACATGAGAGACTTCATTTTCAATATGACAGCTGAGTACTCCTACATAACTGATCCACCTATTTTTGCTGATTTTGGACTTGCAGATATTCTTATAAATAACATGTCTGCTCTGATAAGAGGCACAACTTTCTATGAAAATCAAACAATTCATGTTGACATAGAAGAGATGAAAGGAAATCTTGAGAGTTTCGATATCAATTTTGACGGATTAAGCGACTTCAGCATCGTGCTAACTGATATAGTCGGGTTTTTTGTAAACTTGTTAGGAGGTAAAATTGCAGGAATCGCTGGCGAAGAACTATCTTTAAATCTTGTACCATTGATTAACAAAATTATTCAAATTATTCCAACTGAGCTACCAATTCCAGGAACTAATTTGTATCTCCTAGGAGGTTTCGATTCTAATCTTCATGTAACCAAAGATTCCTATATGAGACTACCATTATCAGCTAGTTTATAATCAAGAAAAGAATTTTTCGATGAAAAATCAGAGATCATTTTACCTCAACATCTCGATGATCCATATGAAATATAACTTTTTTTAAGCGAGTATACAATTAACTCTATTTCCCATGCTCTTCATGTTGAGGACTATCTCAAATTCTCAACACAACTCATTAAAACTGATTAGCTATCAATGGTAGTGGGATCTCAACTATTCAATTTCTTTGATCATAACATGACATGCTAACTAGATTTCGATACTGTCGACCCTTATCCCAATATTGATATCAAACCTGATAATACAATTGTTTTTGTGAATATTACAACAGACATCAGCTGCAGAAAACACGAAAATGATACTCAATTCTATCATGTTGCCAATATGCTGTTCTTGGTTAATACATCATTAATTTTCGAGATTGATAATAACTTAACGATCAAGGGATAGATAAATGATTTAAAAGCTACAATCACCAATGCTTACAATTCAACGATAGGAGAAATTGCTATTTATTTGGTTCAACTTGAAATTTCTCTTGTTGAGAATGTGATGAAAGGAATTATAAATTCATACATTGAGAAGGGTTATTCTCTGTATTGGATTATCACTGACGTCTTCAAGATAACTTTCTTAGACATTAGAGAGATTCAGTCAAAGAATGGAGATGGCTTCCTTTATTTAGAACTTACCCCTGTATTTAATATCACTAAAGCTCATAAGTAAGCTAAAGCATTCTTATCTCAAGATGAAATCAATGTTAAAACTAATCATAATTTATTGAATGATCCTGCATTTATGAATCTTGAGAAGTAGTTCTTTAATGAATTTGGCTCATATCAAAAGGCAAAGGTAATGAAAGAATAATAATAAGAATAAGCTTTTCAAGAATATGAAGGAAAAGTAAATGAATAATTTGAATAATTATGAACTCACGAACTCAACACATCTAAATGTTATTTTTCTATAATTCATACTTTATGTGACAATAAATATTAATGGGGTTTTGGGGTTTTGGGGTTTTGGGG